GTCGATGCCAAGCTTGGTGGGCTCAACATCTTCGACCGATTAGTCGCTTGGCGGCGACGTGGAAGCGGCCAGCTTCAATTCCTGGGGTTCCGGAGGCGGAGGTCATCGAGGCAGAGCTAGAAAAGGCGAAGCTTCCGTTCTCTTGGTTCATGGCCGGACACGGGGACAGGACGCCAGCGATCATTTAGACTAGGTATTAATTATACTCCAGAGCCCGCCTAGGTCCGTTTGATGTATTTGTAATGAAATCCTTCGTGTTTGTATGAAATCCGGTCGAGTTTGCATAAATCTGGCCGTGTTTGCAAGAATTTCATCCGGTTGGTTTAAGTTGTTGTCAAAATGTATGCGGCTAGTATTGGATGGCTGCCTCCGCATCGTATCCGCGGACTGGTCTCTCCCTGTCCGCGGACGAATGCAGGAGGTTTTTATGCGGGTTGTCGGTGGAGATACCCTAAAAAATATAAGATCGTTTACATCACTTAAGTATTGATCTAAACGATATTATATTTCTTTATTACAGAGTACTCCCTCCGTTTCTAAATATAAATCTTTTTAAAGATTTCACAATGGACTACATACAGATGTATATAGACATATTTTTAGAGTGCAGATTCACTCATTTTGCTCCGTGTGTAGTCCCTCGTTGAAATTTTAGGAACGGAGGGAGTACATCAGAAAGAGTACACAATATGCATGCACGGAAACTGCGTGACCCTGTGGATGTACTTGAAGATCCAGGCGAAAAGCACACGAGGAATTAAATTGTTTGATGTCTCCGCGTTGCAGGTGAAGTTACTCCTGCTGCTGTCCTCCAGGTGCAGCAACCGTTAGCAGCAGCCCCGCTCGCTCTCTATCTTTCTTGCGTACGACCGCCCGCGGCCGAAAGTCGGGAGAAAAGCTTGGTCCGCTCACCTCACCTCACCACACTTACTACTGCAACCGGCGGCATTTATCTATGCTTTCCTTTCCAGCAAGGGATCCAATCCAACCCAGATCCAGGCACAACCCTCTTTAAGAAATGGGGGGAAACCACCACATGGATTACACCGAATCTCAACGCAATTCAAATCTGAATCAGCCGACAGGGCATTGTTTATCGTTCGTTTTTACCTGCCCGAGACTGACACCATGTGCAGCTGCCAGATTACATTAGCAAATCCACAGTTTTTTCCAACATTTTTCATCAACATTTCTTGAAGAATTCACCTTTAGTATCCTTAATCCGTCTCGGTAACAATCACTATGGCAGTAAAAGAGCAGAGAGAGCGAGATCAAGAACAGTATGGATCAATGGATGCCAAAATGTACATATGTCATGCCCATCGATGATCCATGATCGATCAGAGGTTGGTGTCGAGCAAGCACCGGTCAGCCGATCAGCTGCGGGAGCACTCGGCGGGGAACCCCTTGGGGAACCGCCACCCGTCGTCGCAGTAGTTGTAGCGCATGTAATTCTTCTTGGCCCAGGCGACGGTGCCCCGCTCGGCGGCGCTGGGCCGGCGCCGCATCCAGCGGCCGGTGCCGGCGGGGCAGGCGAGCGGGCGGCCGGCGCCGGCGGGCGCGCAGGCGTCGGCGAGGTAGCCGCGGTAGGAGACGACGAAGGGCGCGGCGGACCAGTCCACCTTCACCTTGCCCCGCTGCGTCGCCCAGTAGCTGCCGTCCCAGAGCGTGGCGTGCACCGACATGGGCTTGGCGCCCGGGTAGGGCAGGTCGGCGTGGCGGGTGAAGCAGCGGAGGACGAGGTCGTCCACCTTGAAGATGATGTTTCGGTCGTTCCAGATGATGGTGTAGGTGTGGTAGTCGGCGGCCGGGTCGAACCACAGGTAGAACTGCTGCTCCTTCTTGCCGTCGCCGTTGGCCCACACGTTGGTGTTGAGCGCCACCGGCTGGCCGGTGCTGTTGCCCATGAACTCCATGTCGATCTCGTCGTGCCCGGGGCCGTCGCCCGACGAGAGCTGCACCAATCAAGTAGCAACGCCGGCGTCGTCAGTCGAATGTCAACTATAGATATAGTATATTCTGTGCTCAAAACGAATCGAAACGAATCCAATACGTACGTAGAAGGAGGCGACGGTGCCGGCGGAGTTGCCGGGGACGAGCTTGATCTGGACGCTGAACTGGCCATAGAGGTAGCTGCGACGGGAGCGGAAGGCGCCGCCCGACTGCCGGTCGAGGACGATCGACGCCACCTGCTGCCCCCGCGCGTCGTAGCCGGCCCGCACGTTGCCCTCCGTGGTGAACTCCTCGTGCAGCCACGCGGCCGCCGACGACGCCGCCAGCAGCGCCAGGGCCACGGCGACGGCGCACACGGCAGCCCAACGCGCCATTGGGGATGCTCTGCTTCTTGGTGCGTGGAGACGAGGAGGCGCGCGCTGGCTAGTGGAGTGAGACGGGCATGGATAGTTAGCACAGCACAGGAGGTGGCGCCGGTTTTATACTGCTTTGAGCAAGGTCAGCGGCAGAGGGGACGCTCTGCTGATGCGTGGGGCACATCCGACGGTGACCGTGGTGACTGACGCGCACGCACCGCAGTCCGACTCTGAACCAAACAAGCGTCCGGGCGATGGCGACGGGATTATCCGGCCATTCATTGCGGTTCGCCACTTAAGCGCATCAATGCTCAATGGGGGGCCGTCGCCATCTTAATCTTATCTCAGATTTTTGCTTATCTTGGCATGGATGCCTCCTTTCCTTTCCTCGCTGGGCATGGGCAAGCGTGTACTCCCTCTGTCCGGTCACGGGCGCTGCGGTGCCCGACAGCGACGGCGGGCGGCGGTGGTTCACGCGTCGCCTGGCCGCTGCCGCTGTCGTTTCCACGGGCCATACTCGCTCGCTTTCCGACTCCCCGCGCGCGGATGCAGCACGAGTGGAGCGGGTGCCCTGTGCGTGTCAGAATCAAGTTGAAGCTAATGTAGGATCAGCCCCCACGTCCTTATCTTGCCCCCGCGTCGCCCCCGCTCGGGCGACTCGGGCGGGATCTCGATCCCTAGCCGCCGGGTCCCCTCCCCTCCCTTCGCTGCCGCCGAAGGACGCCGCCGGCGATGGCCCGGGGCTGACGGCGGTGGCGGGGGTCCTCCCTCTTGCCTGCGCCGTGGGGGTGGTGCGGCGCCCCGCGGCATGGGTGGCGCGGCCGATCTGGCCTGGCGGCGCGGCGGGCCTGCCTTCCGGCGGCGGCGCGGCGGCTGCCTCAGCCAAGGGCCGCGATGGTGGGGTGCGGCAGCCGGCTCTGCCTCGGGCTGCGTGGCTGCGTTCGGCGGCGGCAGCCGGGTCTGCGGCGACACACCATCTGACCTCGGATCGGCGGTGGCGGCATGGAGTGCCTGGTGGTTGGGTCGGCACCATGCGGGTTGTGCCCTCCGGACAGATCTGATCTGGCCGGTGCGGCCTGCTCGTTGTGCAGCGGCTCAGATCGGCGGCGACCCGTGCACACATTACGTGACGGAGGTTCTTCGAGCGGATCCGGGTGAAAACCTTGTGCTCGGCTTGGTGCCATGACCGGCGTTGGTGGCACCCTGTTGTGTCATTACCTTCTTGAAGGCATCGCCGTGGAGAAGCTCTAGACCTCTATCCGCTACCTCCGGGGAAAACCCTAGATTAGTTGATCGGATGACGGCGGCGCGTTGGTGTCATTTCCTCCTTGGGGGCGTCATTCTTGGAGGCGTACACGGGATCGAGGGACCAGCGGGCGCCTTTTTGGTGGAGCGGTGCTTCATCCTTCACATTGATGACGGCGGATCTCGGCGGCGTGGTGCAGTGGAGACTCGGCGCCCGATGCACGGTGATGAACTCGCGCAGGTGGAGGTAGTTGTCTGGCGTCAAGGTGGCGTCGATGACGGAGTGACCTGACAAGGTAGAAGCCTCAATATCTGCTCTGAAGACGGACCTGTGGAAGATGGCGGCGACGACACATGTGAGTGCGTCAGACCAGTTTATGCCCCAGACCCGGGATGTGGCTCGGCTGGGGCTTCTGGCTTTTGATGATAGGATTAGGTGAGTAGTCTGGGTATGTGGCCCAGATAGCACCCCTACATCTTTTGGATAGGAGTAATGGCATATGTTGTCAAGATGGTTAATTCAGGCATATTGTTGTAATACTTTGTAAGGTCCTCGAGAATAATCAATAAAGTGGCCGTATGCATCTCCCAGATGTAGAGGCCAGGGGTCATCCTCCTTTTCTAAAAAAAATGTAGGATCAGCACAACGATGAGCTGTAGCAGCACTAGCAGAACATGCTCTTATCGCTAACAAGCCATAGCAACCTACTCCAAGACAATGCCCCATACAAAGGCACAGGTCATAGGTACCTGAGCAAAGGCCTTCGCCCTGGTGGCATCCGAGGAACTTATAATCCTGCTCGGCGCCGCATTCGGCCGGCGATGGTTTCAGCGGAGTGGAGCGGAGCAGGAACCCCTCTCCTCTCCTTCTCTTCCTGCCTGGAAGATCTCCTGCTCTTGGCATCTCAAAGGCAGAAAGAAGGCCTGTCAACTGGTCTTGCAAATTGTCAAGGCTCAGGGTGTCCTAAATTTTGCCTGATAGGATAGCGCTCTCTGCAGCCCAGCCGCACACGGATGATCATCACCGGTGGATTTTCAAACAGACGGTTCAAATTTAGTAGTCGGTTTTCAGCTAGTTCCAAGAGAGCTACTGGCCTAAAATATATACACCCTGGAATGCAAGTACACCAAAAGAAATGTGCGGAATTTAAACTTGCGGTAAACTAAAAAAGTTGGCACAAACAAGAAATTTATTCCGGGGTTCAAATCCTACATCCGCTGACAATTATTCAAAGAGAAAGAACCATGTTGCGAACAAACCGGGGTTTTTGTTTATGATGTGCTGTATTATCATGCATAGAAAACATAAGGTGTACAGTGGACTTTAATTTTCACATATTTGAAGAGAATTCGTGTGCACAAAAGATGCAAATAAACTCTTTTTCAATGCACCAGTAAGTTAGTTGCTCTCATATAGGATTAGCGCAATAAGTTGTGACAGCACTAGTGGAATGTGCTACCTCTCATATCAGATCAGCACAATAAGCTGTGGTAGCACTAGCGGAATGTGCTCTGATCACTAACAAGTCATCATAGCGACCTGTAAGCTATCATTGCCAAGATGGATATCTTGAGAAAGATGATTAGACAACACCAGGGATCCGAACCAAACCCATAATCTGCTAGTAAAGTTGTGAACAGGAAATGGTTTCTGAAAATTCACATAGATGCCTGAACCGAAAGACAACTGGTTGTCCACCTCATACTTCTCTATGGAACTGCTAGTGCAGAGAAGCACTTGTTGCACAGCAAGGACCGACAAAAATGGATACGAGAAGCTCACCTTGGTGATATCAGAGGACAGAGGCGGTGTGCTCCTGTCCGTTGCCGCATTCGCCCGCCAATGGTTTCAGCAGAGCAGAGCAGGGATCCCTTTCCTCTGCTTCTCTTCCTGCCTGGAAGATCTTCCCTTCTGGCTTCTCACAGGTAGAAGATAGACACTGTCAATTGGTCTTGCAAATTGTCAAGGATGAGGCCATGAGGGTGTCCTAAATTTACCTGATAGAATAGCACTCTATGCGGTCGCACACTGATGATCTTCACTGATGGATTTTCAGTTTCAGATACTGCTTCACAAGACCATATGCCACACCACCTGAGCTTGAATTATATGTACTGCACGTGTTAATCCTGTAAGAAATATACAAGAAAAGAACCCAATTCCGCATAAGTGGCTATGGAAGACAAGTACATGAAACAACACAATGGACATGTCAATTGCACTGCAAGCACTAGTGATTAGGCCATGGATGTGGAAGCTCCAATATAGGGCCTCCTTGGCTTCTAGATGTGGATGCTCACCTTGACTTCATTTTTGATACCTGTAAAGAAAATACTGGACCATTTACTGCACTAGTCATCAGACAAACTCAGAATATACTTTTCTGACCATTCAAAAAAAAATACTTTTCTATACAGTACCTGCTAAAAATATAGCCACATTAACTGGTCGTGCAATCTCAATCAACAGCCCCTTTTATAGAGGCAAAACACGAGTTGTAGACTTGCAGTGTAATATGGACTCACAGCACTCAAGTCTTTGGTGTCGCTCTCATGCTACTACTTGTTCATCTCCACCACACAGACCATTGGTGCTCACCCTGACTTCTGATTTCATTCAGAACCATAGAATTGCTATCACATCCAAACAGAAGCAAGAGGATTTTATCATGGCGGAGCTCATCATCTCGGCGGTTGTCGGGGACATGGTCGGTAGGGTGATATCTCTTCTCGCTGGCCGGTTCAAAGGCCAAGGGTGCACCGACGCCAAGCTACGGAGGATTTGCCATATGCTTGTCAAGGTTCACAGTGCGGTAGAGGAGGCCAAAGGGAGGCAGATCACAAACTGCGGCACCCTCGAGTGGCTTTCGGAGCTCAACGACGGGGTGTACCAGGGCCGCTACTTGCTCGACACGGTCAGATGCAAAGAACAGGAGCTTGAAGATAAGCATGATGACAAGGTAGTTGGACAAACTTTCTCTTTCTCCTTGTATAATCCTGCAAAGCGTGTGCGCGTAGCGGCATGTGCCGTGAAGAGCCTACTGTCTCGCCATGATGTCGTTGGTCCTGAGGAGATTGACAGAGTGGTGGAGATCTTGGAAACCATATCCGGTGATCTCAAGGAGTTCATGATGCTCCTACAGAACTGCCAGCCAATCCATCGTCCTTTGGCTACTAATATCTTCATTGAGGGGCAGATGTTCGGCCGACATGTCGAGAAACAGAGGATCATCAACTTCCTGCTGCATGATGGTGGTGTGTCTACTGGAAAACTAGGCATGCTTCCAATTGTTGGCAGCACGGGAGTCGGGAAGACCACCCTTGCGCAGCATGTCTGCGATGATGAGAGGGTGCGCAACCACTTTCCAATAATCTTGTATTCCAATTTCTCATACACCAGAGCAATGGCTCGGGGTGAGGCGGTGTTTGTTCTAGGATCCAAAAATGCAGTTAGAGATGCTAAAAAATTCATGGAAATACTGCATGTACTCAAGGAGAAATACCTCAGCAAGAGGTTCTTGATGGTATTTGAAGATGTTGACATGGGCAAGAAACAGATGCTACAAGAGTTACTGCCAATCTTGAGACATGGCAAATTCGGGAGCAGGATCATAATCACCACAAACAACAGGGATGTCGCCAGCTTGGGAACGGTGCAGCCAATCAATCTGAAGGTTATGCCTCATCAGGAGTACTGGTTCTTCTTCAAGGCACACGCGTTTGCTGGCAGAGATGTCGAGGAGGACCCAAGGATGTTAGCAGCAGGTAACGCGATTGCAAGGAAGCTAAATGGGTCATTCTTCGGAGCGAAAATCGTCGGCGGGGTGCTGAAAGCTCATCCGAATCCCCGGTTCTGGTGCAAGATGCTGGGAAGCAATATAGGGGGGTTGTCTCTGTTGGGTGATGGAATTGGGTACATTGCAGATTTGGCAGAGAATTTGCTGCCAAACTACGCAAACATATGTGAGGTGACCATTTCTAAGACTCCATATCCCTCTCAGACAGAACTGGCTGGGTTGGTATATCAGGCAAGTCCTAGTGCTAGTGTTGTTGCCCCGCGTGGTGATATCGGGTTTGCAAAAGTCTTGTTGTGCAGGTCAGTGTTGCCGCTCCAATCACTGTACTACACTGCTCATTGCACTCTGCGTGGGCCAGATTACTCACCAGAGTTCACCAAACTTGAAGGGAGTAGATTTGCGCATCTTACTCCCCTCAAGAAAAGATTTCCTAATATTAGTAATATATGTGTGTGAAGATCAGACAGGAATTATGCCTATTTACATGGAATTGACTTGTCCGTGCAGAGTTGAATACTCTGTTTTGAGTTGCATTGTGCTAGTTCTTGTTTATTTCTGTTTTCTTAGCTTGCTTGTGTTGCTTCCCTTCCCTGGTATGTATATGTAGCTATCCTGGATGACTGTAACCTGGCCCTTGATGTGTGGAATGAAAAGTAGTGAGTCTCTTATTTGGTTCCCAGAGCTGTGACAGTAGCTTGATTATCCAGTGTACTGTTCTGCGGGAGACCATTTAGCAACTAATCATGAAAATCGGCTTAGAAGTTCCATTATGAGCTTTGCTGGTAGATTGATTATGTTGTTTCTGGTACTTTCTAGACGACCTTCTCTCTGAGGGTTGGCCGGGTCCTGCCATCCACTCGCCGAGTATTCTAGGCGCATATGGTTTGGGGTTAGGTTCACCCTGGCAGCTCTGGAGAAGTGGTTGTTCTAGAAGTGTTTGGGCATTGGTCTTTAATTTTCAAACATTTGACGGGATGTACAGACATTTCAAAATCAACAAAGAAAGTTGGTCGAAGCTAAACCTGCCGACCATGCTCCCATATATGATCAGCACAATAAGCTGTAACAGCACTAGCAGAATATGCCATCACTAACAAGTCATAGCAACATGTAAGCCATCATTGCAAAATATGGCAAGGGAAAGATGGATAATGCTAAGAAAAAAAAATCAACTTTCTGTTGATTAGACTAGCGATACCTATACCCGGGACCCAAATCCATGCACTGATACTAAGTTATGAACAGGAAAAGGTTTCTGCAAACTCTTGTAGATGCCTGAACTGAAACAGAGCTGATTAGGCTATGGCAACAATTGTCAGGTCAACTGCACTGCAAGCACCAGTGATTAGGCTATGGCAACTGCACTGCAGTACCTCCTTGGCTTCTAGGGATGTTGATGGTCTAAGACAAGGGCTAGGCATTCACACCATTAGTCATCATACAAGCTCAGAATATAGTTTCATATTTAGTACTGTACAACCAATAAGTAATGGCCAACAGAAAATTAGTCTGTTGCTTTTTGCTCTACCGTGTCAGTGCGACACTTAAAATATAACCACAATAACTTGTCGTGCAATCTAAAATGACAGTTTCTTTCATAGAAGGAAAACACGTGTTGTAGACTTGCAGTGCAATATGGAGTCAAAGCACTGAAGTCTTCCATGTCGCTCTCATGCTAATATTTATATGTCTCCACCACACAAACCATTGGTGCTCACCTTGACTTATGGTTTCATTCAGAAAGTTGGAATTGATAGAAAGGCTGGCGTACCAGATAACTTGCGAACATCACAAAGTTGCTAGAGGAATTTATCATGGCGGAGGTCATCTTCTCAGCGGTTGTCGGAGACATGGTCGGCAGGATGATATCTCTTCTTGCCGGCCAGTTCAAGGGCCAACAGTGCACTGAAGCCAAACTACGCAAGATTTGCCATATGCTCGTCAAAGTTTATAGTGCAGTAGAGGAGGGCAAAGGGAGGCAGATCACAAACTACGGCACCCTCGAGTGGCTTTCAGAGCTCAACGACAGTGTGTACCAGGGCCGCTACTTGCTCGACACGGTCGGATGCAGAGAGCAGGAGCTTGAAGATGAGCATGCTGACAAGGTAGTTGCACAACCTTTCTCTTTCTCCTTGTTTAATCCTGCAAAGCGTGTGCGCGTAGCAGCCTGTGCCATGAAGAGCCTATTGTCTGGCCATGATGTTGGTGTTCCTGAGGAGATAGATCGAGTGGTAGAGATCTTGGAAACCATATCCGGTGATCTCAAGGAGTTCCTGATGCTCCTACATAACTGTCAACCGATCCATCGTCCTTTGGCTACTAATATCTTCGTCGAGGGGCAGATGTTCGGCCGACATGTCGAGAAAGAGAGGATCATCAACTTCCTGCTGCACGATGGTGGTGTGTCAGCTCGAAAACTGGGAGTGCTCCCAATTGTTGGCGGCATGGGAGTCGGGAAGACCACCCTTGCGCAGCATGTCTGCGATGATGAGAGGGTGCGCAACCACTTTCCAATAATTTTGTATTCCAATTTCTCATACACCAGAGCAATGGCTCGGGATGAGGCGGTGTTTGTTCTAGGATCCAAACACGCAGTTGGAGATGCTCAAAAATTCATCGAGTCACTACATGTACTTAAGGAGAAATGCCTCACCAAGAGGTTCTTGATGGTATTTGAAGATGTTGACGCGGGCAAAAAGCAGATACTAGAAGAGTTACTGCCGATCTTAAGACAGGGCAAACATGGAAGCAGGATCATAATCACCACAAACAGCAGGGCCGTCGCTGCGAGCATGGGAACGGTGCAGCCGGTCAGTCTGAAGGTTATGCCGCACCAGGAGTACTGGTTCTTCTTCAAGGCGCACGCGTTTGCTGGCAGAGATGTCGAGGAGGACCCAAGGATGCTAGCAGCAGGCAAGGTGATTGCGAGGAAGCTAAATGGGTCCTTCTTCGGAGCAAAAATCATCGGCGGGGTGCTGAAAGCTCATCCGAATCCCCGGTTCTGGAGCAAGGTGCTGAGGAGCAATATAGGGGGATTATTTCTGTTGGGTGATGGAATTGGGTACATTATGGATTTGGCAGAGAATTTGCTACCAATCTACGCAGACGTGTGTAAGGTAACCATTTGTAAGAATCCATTTATCTTTCAGACAGAACTGGCTAGGTTGGAGGATCTGTATCAGGCAAGTCCACTTGGTGATAACCGGTTTGCAAAAGCTCTGTTGTGCAGGTCAATGTTGCCATTCGAACTCTTGAACTACGCTGCTGATTGCAATGTGTGTGGGCCGGACTATTCAGCAGAGTTATAAAATTTGAGGAAGTAGACTTTGCCCATATACTCCCACCAAGAAAAGGTTTGCCGATATAGGGATGTGAAGATTAGACAGGAACTACACCTGTTTACATGGAATCTGATGCACCCGTCCCCATGGAATTGACTGCTCCGTGTGGAGCTGAATGCTCTGTTTTGAGTTGTATTATTGTTGTATTTCTTGTCTTGCTTCACTGCTATATACATGAAACTAGCTCCAATAACTGTAACGTGGCCCTTGATGTGTAGAATGACAGTACTGAGTCATGTTAGTGTTCTACTGTGCATGTCAGTGTTGCCATTCCAACTCTTGTGCTACACTGCTGATTGTAATGTGCGCGGGCCGGACTATCCACCAGAGCTCATAAAAAATGAAGGAAGTAGATTTGCCCATATTAGCTGTAATGACCCAGCTTGTAAAACCTTGTTATTGGTAACTTGTGATCAAGTAATTTAATGCATCTCATATCATGGCATCATCATACAGTTGCATGGTTAAAGCCCCTTTAGGTCGAAACCTTGCAAAATGCTTAAATCTGCCCTCAAATAAATGTTGTGAAGAAAATGTCATCCAAAAGTTGATGTGGCACTTCCCTAGGCCCTACATGTCATAAACAACCCCTCTGAAAAATCTCAGATGTCATGGACTAGTTTTAGTATTTGAAGCAAGTGCTAAATGTTCAAATTCAAATAGTGAAAGAACTCCCCTCAAATATATAAATATATATATGTGTTGTTGGAAGAACTGCAAAATATTTTGTCGGCGATGATTCCTGTAGTTAAAATTCATGAAAAAGATATCTGAGGCAAGTATGTTATATTATATACCCAGTAAAATTCATAAGTTTTATAATCATATTTCACCTACTTGCAGTTCAAACCTGAACTGGGGGCAAAATTGAATTTGAAATTAAATAGCTGTCAAAAACTACATAGACAAATCTGGTAAAATTCATGGTGGTGTGAAATATCATTCATAACACCTAGGATTTTTTCTAGATTTTCCTAAGAAAGGTTTGGATCCATAAAAAAATGCAATGCATTAAAAAAGGAAGGAGAAGAAAAAAGGCCTAAAAAAACACTATAGGGGTGCTGAATGCTCATCCGAATCCCCAGTACTTGTGCAAGGTACTGAGAAGCAACATCGGGTGGTTTGTCTCTGTCGGGCGATGGAATTGGGTACATGCAGATTTAGTACAGAATTTGCTAAAGATCCACATAGACATGTGTAAGGTGACCATTTCTAAGAGTCCATATTCCTCTCAGATAGAACTGGCTAGGTTGGAGGGTCTATATCAGGCAAGCCCTGGTACGTGCTGCTGTCCCGCATGGTGATATTCAGTCTGCAAAAGTCTTGTTGTGCAGATCAGTGTTGACATTCGTGTACAACACTGCGCATTGAAGTGTGCATGGGCCAAACTATTTATCAGAATTCATCAAACTTGAAGGAGGTAGATTTGCCATTTTACTCCCCTAAAGAAAAGATTTGACAATATATGTGTGTTAAGAGCAGAAAGAAATTATGCCTGTTTACATGGAATTTGATGCAATCGTCCCCATGGAATTGACTGGTCCATGCAGAGCTGAATGCTCTGTTTTCATTTGTATTGTTGTTGTTTTTTTCTGTTTTTCTTAGCTTTGCTTGTCTAGAATGAAACTGGCTCGACTAACTGTAACATGGCCCCTGATGTTTAGAATGACAAGTAGTGAGTCTAATGTGGTGCCCACAGCTTTGACAGTAGCTTGACTGTTCAGTTGAAATTCTATTAAGAGTACTGTTCTACGGGAGAACAATTTGGGGTCAATGATGAAAATCCGGTTAGAATTTCCACTATGAGCTTAGCTTGATTATGCTGCTGCCGGTACTTCCTAGACGACCCCTCCCTCGGGATTGGCCAGGTGCTGCCATCCACTCGCTGACTCCTTTTAGGTGCATATGGGTGGGTGATACGTTGACCTGGACAACCCTGGGGACATGGTTGTGCTGCAGAGGTGTCGGGCATCGGTCTTTAATTTCACACATTTGAAATGAATTAGTGTGCACAAAGATGTAAGTAAACTCTTCTCCATTGCAACTTCAACAAAGTAAATAGGTTGAAGCTAAATCGGTGCACAATTGTTCTCTTGTAGGATCAGCACAATAAGCTGTAACAGCTCACTAACAGGTCATACAACCTGTAAGCCATCATTGCAAATATAGCAACGGAAAGATGGATAATACTGAGAAAATATTTTCAACTTCTGTTCATTAGACTAGCCAATAGCTATACCTGGGACCCAAATCCATGTACTGTTACTAAAGTTATGAACAGGCAATGGTTTCTGAAAACTCTCACAATGCCTGAACTGAAAAGGAGATGATTGTCCACAGAATATCTCTATTTATTTTTAAGGATACTGTATATCTACTGCTAGCACAAAAAAAGCCTTCCGCACAGCAGACAGCATGAAAGACAAAGCTCATATGTATGAATGTATCAGAGAAGATGACTTCACCTTGGTGAAATCTGACGAAATATGCTCCTTCTCAGTGCCACATTTGCCCGGCGATGGTTTCAGCAGAGCAGGAACTCCTTTCCTCTCCTTCTCTTCCTGCCTGAAATCTCTCCTGCCCTTGACTCCTCGCAGTCAGAGGATGGACACAGTCAATTGGTCTTGCAAATTGCGTAGTAAGTGCTGTTTGCAATGTGTTCTAAATTTACCTGATAAAATAGCTATGAGGCAGCACACAGATGATCTTTCCTGATGAATTTCAATTCCAGATACTTCACAGGCCAGGATACAACACCACCTGAGCTTGCGTTGTGTGTTAAACCTGCAAGAAATCATTGAAAGAAACACAACTCTGTAAGTGCTATGGAAGATAACACAACACAATTGACATGCCAATTGCACTGCAAGCACTATTGATTTGATAATATAGACAGGTTGTAAGCTCATATACAAGTTGTTCAGCTTTTGTTCACAAATATTGATTCAGTATAATGTGATGGTTATCCTAAATTCTAATGAAGCAACAACCAGACGTACAGAGAACAAACCTCTGTCACGTCTTCGCTATCAGCATCATCCTATCAGCACCAACCAAAACAAACCTCAAATTCACTTCCAACAGAGCCAAAAGCCCAAATGAGGAGTTCATCAAATCCCTGTACAAACAACATGCAAAATCACTGAATCACACATCAACGAATTAGAAGATGGCAGAGCAGACAGCACACGGGCAAAACCACAAAATCCCTTGACATTGCATCATGCATTGTTTGCAGCACCATGCTACATCCGACAGGAACACCATTGCAAAATCACAAAACAAACAAGCAGCAAACAGAGGACAAAATTAGCACGAGATGATAACTGAACTTTTCACTGCCATTTCATTCCAGCATCAGGCTACATAGGACAAGACGACACGCCATATCAACACCAACAGACAGAAGACACCAGACAGGAACGGCTACTACGCAGTATCACCGGCGGTGACCGAAAACCTAGGCGCGCTCCCCGCGGATGCGGCGGGCGAGCTGGATGTCCTTGGGCATGATGGTGACGCGCTTGGCGTGGATGGCGCACAGGTTGGTGTCCTCGAACAGCCCGACCAGGTACGCCTCGGCGGCCTCCTGCAGGGCGGAGACGGCGGAGCTCTGGAACCTCAGGTCGGTCTTGAAGTCCTGCGCGATCTCGCGGACGAGGCGCTGGAAGGGGAGCTTGCGGATGAGCAGCTCCGTGCTCTTCTGGTACTTGCGGATCTCCCGGAGCGCGACGGTCCCCGGGCGGAAGCGGTGGGGCTTCTTCACGCCGCCGGTGGCCGGGGCCGACTTGCGCGCCGCCTTGGTGGCCAGCTGCTTCCGCGGCGCCTTGCCGCCGGTGGACTTGCGCGCCGTCTGCTTCGTGCGGGCCATCGGAGCTGGTGGGGGGAGGAGTCTAGGGTTTGGA